ATAATATATATATATATATATAACTAGTAAAAAATGCATACAGACAACTGTATAAATTAGCTGTACGTACACCTGAATATATACTGCATTTATACATATATACTATACACCTGTACGCACATATATACATATAAATATATACATACATATATATACATATAATTATATTTATACATATATATACACACATCTGTATAATATCTATACATATATCTATACATATATATGTATATATATACATGTATATATACATATATATTACATCTATACATAAACTAAATATATAATATATATGCATCTATATACGTATACATATATACGTATATATAGGTATACATACGTATATATTACATACATATACCTATATATTATATAATAAGCCTAAATACCTGTATACTACTAGCATATATACGTATACGTATACGTATATATACTTCTATATATTTACTCATTTATTTATATATATACATATACATATATATTTATACATAAATATATGTATATATAAGTACAAATATATATATAATTACTATACGAGTAACATATATACTTATATACTGTATATATGTACATCTATATATATATTTATTTATATATACATACGTATATTTATATTTACACATATATATATTTATACGTATATATAAATATAAAAATATATTTACTATATATATACGGATATATCTGTATACACAGCAAGAAGAGACAAAAGGAGACAAAAGAGACAACAGCAGAGACAAAGACAGCAAGACACGCTGGCTAGCTAGCTAGCTAGCGACATAGCTAGCCACATAGCTAGCTAGCTAGCTTGTTAGCTAGCTAGCTACTTAGTATCTGCGCCGCAGCTCATGGGTCGCCTCTGGAGGCTATACATTCCCTCCCAGCTAGCTGGATAGCTAGCTAGCCAGCTAGCTAATGAACTTTACAGCTAGGTGTAGCTAGCTAGCTGTAGCTAGCTAGAGGGGGCCCCGCCCCTCTAAAATAAATCCCTTAATGCAACAATGAGGGGTAATCGCAACAAAGATGTCGCGTTAATTGATGCCTCTTTTGGGGTGTCTCGACACCTTAGAAACACCACAAACCCTAAACCCTAAACCCTAAACCCTCATCCGTAATCCCCAAACCCTGAACCCTAAACCCTAAACCTTAAACCGGGAATCCTTGACCCCAAACCTTAAACAGTAAACTCTAAACACTAAACCCTAAATCGTAAAGTCCAAATCCTAGACTCCAAACCCTAAACCCTAAACCCTAAACCCTAAACCCTAGACTTACTCTTTAACGAATTCATCAAAAGAGAGGGTTAGGCCTGAGTAATGAGAGACAGACTTCCATGGTTCCTCATTAGTGTCTACGAAGAGAACTTTGCTGCTGCTGTCCGTTGTTGCTGCTGCTGCTGTTGCTGTTGCTGCTGGTGCTCCCGCTACTGTTGGTGGTGGTGGTGGTGCTGCTGCTGCTGCTGCTTCTGCTGTCATTGCTGCTGCTCTTCCTTGCATGCTGCAGCAACTGCCACGGGAGATTTTAAGGAAAGGATATTTTCTTTTAAATAATTCAACGGCACTCGCTAATGCTAAATCATCCACCTGTCACACAACAAACCCTAAACCCTAAACCCTAAACCGCATGTATAAGGTTTTCTATTTATACATGTATTACTTAACAAAAGGTTTACGCATACGTAAATAATTTGTATACATATATATATCTATAAATTGTCTCTTTTTATACACATATAATGTATATATAATATTATATAATATTATGCACAATATACATAAATAATATTTACTGTATCTGTTGGGGTGACAGCGAGCTGCCTATACACCCCAGCAGTACTCACGTTATCGAAGGCGATTTGTGCACGACGGAGTTTGTCAACAATCGAAGGAGTCAGCAACACTGCAACACACAAACCCTAAACCCTAAACCCTAAACCCTAGTTGCCTTTGGTGTCATTCAGACAAATAGCAACGAGGTCATAAACCCTAGTACACACCGCTAAATTTCCATGCTTAGTCTATGCTAGACAGCCAAAGGTTTAGGGTTTAGTGTTTAGGGCATAGTGATTAGGGTTTAGGGTTTAGGGTTTGGAGGCGCACTGCGATGAAGGTGATGGAAGACAGCAGCAACAACGAAAAAGTTTAAAAACCCTCGATGTTCTTTATCAAGCAACGCGAAGCTCGCTGAGACACAAAACCCTAAACCCTAAACCCTAACCCCTAACCCCTAAACCCTAAACCCTAAACACTAATAACTAAACCCTAATGTATCCTCTTTTTTCAACACTTTCTTTCTTCGTCTCTCTCCCTCTCTCCCTCTCTTCCTCTCTCTCCCTCTCTCCCTCTCTTCCTCTCTCCCTCTCTCCCTCTGTCTCCTTGTCCCTTTTTTCCTTTTGTTTGTCCCTTTTATCTCTACCTGCTTGAGGTTTATACTCACCTTTTATTCTGTCTTCTGCACTAACCCTACAATAACGAGACAAACCCTGCAAAACCTCCAAGGCATCTGCTGCCCCACTGCGACTCCCCTGCATCTCCTCAAATAACCCTGTGCAGAAAACCCTCACACCACGTCCTGCTAGGGATTAGGGTTTACGGTTTGGGGCTTAGGGTTTAGGGTTTGGGGTTTAGGCTTTAGGTGTGCCATACCTTCTAGTGCTCTGCGGACTTCTTTCCGGTCTCCCCATTCGTCATTTTCGGCATGTAGAGGGGGGCCCCCAAGGGCCCCTCCAGGGGCCCCTTCTAGGGCCCCTGAGGGGCCCCTCCGCTGCAGCAGCAGGGGCTCTAAAGCCTTACAGAAATCACTAATGCTGAAGTATAAAGAAGGGCTACTTCTTAACAGGGCCTCCATGGCTGCATGCAAATGTATAAGACCCTAAACCCTAGAATTTACTGGTCCACGGTATTCTTTTAGCCCTTAGCTGGAGTTCCCCTCCGTGTAGGTGCACAACACACTCTGTTTCCCCTGTTGTGCATAGGCCAGAATAATTAGGGTTTAGGGTTTAGGGTTTATAGAATTTACCTGCACTAAGTGGTAAATGCTGCATAAGTTGTATAGCAGGTAATGTAGATAAATGATGATTTTGTTTGAAGATATTTGCTGCCGCTAAAGAAGATAAAAATTCTTTAAATGGTATACAATTACCTAAAGAAGGACGTAATCTTTTTATTGATACCTGTCTAGACACCTCAGCAGATATGCCCCAACTTAATACACCTTCGTCCTCAATTGTATTATTCATATGCTCATCCTCCTGCTGCACCTCCTGCTGTTTTATTCCTGCTGCAGCACCACCATGTTGCAACTGCTGAAAAGACAGCAGAGAACTAAGAGACCTCCTGCAATGTACATACACCACAAAAGAGCAACAAACCTTCAATTCTCATGGGTTAAACCGTGAGTCTCTCCTTATATTTGGTAAAATAGGGTTTAGGGTCTAGGGTTTGGGGCTTAGCGTTTTCAACATATGTACTCCTTGTTATTGTAGCTTTCAAAGAGGCCGCTTAATGTATTCTCCTCCTGCAGGAGATCGCTAAGGGTTTGGTACCCTTCGGAGGGCCCCTGGGTCCCCCCAGAGGGGCCCCTTGGCCCCTCGGAGCCCCCTACAACAATTGTCTTCACCTCAGCAGCACGGGAGAAGTGGCGAAAGGAAACACTCCTTGGGCCCCACATAACTGTGCCCTCTTTCTGTATAAAGGAATGGGGGCCCTCAAGGGGCCCCCGGGGGACCCCTGTACAACATTGGAGTTGTACAGGCCAAGGCTTGGCTCTGCAAGGCAGCTCCCGTCCTGTTGCTGCGGTTGCCGTTGTTGCTGTTGCTACTGCTGCATGACCAGCAGCAGCTGCTGCTGGGACCGGCGGGTGTACAGACAGCGCTGCGGGCCCCCGTGGTGGGGGGCGGAGGCCCACGTTAAGCTGCAGCAAGGGGCGGGTGTATAGGGAGCTGCAGCACCTGGTAGGTGTTGTAGACATTAGACTGAGTGTTTGGGGTCAAGGGTTTAGGATTTACGATTTAAAAAGGTCAAAGAGAGGTAGAAGGAGGAAGAAAGCGGCAGAAAGAAACAAAGGTCACTCCCTATATGTGCTTATACCGCAGAGTCAAAGGAGAGAATAGCCAATAAAGATGCAAATTGACCTGGAAGCACCTTAAATAAGGTGTCTATACACTATACATATTAATAATAAGTACTTAGTTTTATACAAGTATACGAATAAACAGTTAGACCACCACAAACACCAATGGTAAAGGTGGGGAGGGCCCCTGGTGCTGCTGCCAGTACCAACCTAGCCACTGTCGTTGGGGCCCCCCAACGAACTGCAACTTGCCGCCGTCAGAAGGCAACAGATACGGGAAAAATAAATAAAATTCAGTAAAATAGTAATTTCAATTAAAAGTGTAAAATGAAGAAAGGATTTATGCTGGTTAAAACACCTGGAGGGATGTGCCTGCGTTCGTTGCGGTGTATACGCAGCGTGGCCATGATGCACACGGTGACAGTGACTGGTTATTCTTTCCACCTTTTCCTCCTTCTTATGAATTATTACTTATTTGCTTCAATTAGTTTAAGTATTTTGTTGATTATAACATGGAAAACCGCCGAGAATATCCCTTTGTACGCCACAGACTGCATCTGATGTACTAACAACTAACCCCCCTAGTAACTAATAATAACATGACAATAAACAATAAAAAGAAATGAGGGCATCCGATACTCAACACATTTATTTATTCCTTTTCCTTTATTTGCTTTTAGTCCTCCCCTACCAGTTGACAAAGGCATTAGTTCTATGGGATTGCCGTTGCTGCTTATGCCCGTCTATTCGTGCTCACTTAGGGCATACACCTGGATGTAGTTCCTACAACTTGCTACAACTAGCTGTAGCTAGCTGCAGTTAGCCAAAGGGATGTACATAGTGGTTGCTGGATAAGTTTGTCTGTCTGCTAACACGCGCTGAGGGGGCATAAAGTGTAGGTGCTGCTGTTCCCTGAGGAAAAGTAGGAGAGTTAATCAATTGAAATAAGGGTTTGTTGCTTGTTAGGGAATCATATCAACCATTTGATTGTTCTTATCTGTTTATTCTTTTTTTCATTTTCTTTCCTTGTTGCCTTTCCTATGTCTGTCTATACACCCAGTCTTACGCTGTATATTCCTGGCATACGGGCATATACGATACTATACTAAATACCTCACTAAACCCTAAACACTACGCTTAAACCCTAATGGATCTATTAAACTGCACGGCGGCAGACGTCGGCGGTGTGTCCGAGTGGTTAAGGAGGTGGACTCGAAATCCACTGGGCTCTGCCCGCGCAGGTTCGAATCCTGCCGCCGTCGCATTTCTATATTTTAATTTGTTCTTCACTTATTTATTTAACTTTTTATCCATAAAAGCATTTGTTAGTCATCTTAAATTGTGCTAAATCAAACTGTGAAGCACCATTCTATGTGTTGCGATGTGAATGGAAGTGCGTGCTGACGGGACCCTACAACGCCTCTATACATGAATGCATACATACGTGAAATAATTGGCCCTTTGCTGCACACACCTGCAACGTGTATGCACTCCGTAGGTACATGACCTTATGGGCATGTTGAATGGATGTATGCATTGCCTGTCTGCATTCTTACATTTAATTATCTGCCGTATGACCGCTTTTCTACGTTGCATGGGTTTTGCTCATTTCTGAATGTTGCATAAATGCACGCCGGTTTTGTTTGTATGTGTGTGCGCATTTGCATGCGCATATTTTCTGGCAGTTTGTTCGTAGCAGGACAAACAGGACGTATCCATCAACAGCACGCCGCCGGTGACCCCAGAGGACGAAAAGAGACTGCTGCAGCACTATAGCCTTGCAGAGGACTCGCACAACAGCCACGAAGTTGCTCTGGCGGTTCTGTTGCAGCTAGCGATACATAAGCTGGACAAGGATACCACCAGCAGCAACATCGCAAACACGGCTCTCGCCTTCTTCTTTTGCAGATTCGGCAAGGTGCATGCAGCACGTGGGGTGAGTCGAGAAACTACACTCTGATCCGCCCCTTGGATTTTTTTTTCTTGTTCCGCAGTGTCTGACACAGCTGCAGCAGCCTGCTTAGACTGCCAATGACGTCTAAAT